ACTACTTATCATCCTCCTCCTCCGCCACACCTTTATCGGAAGTTTATCCTCCTCCTCTTCGCCCTCCACATCTTCTGCCGTGTCCTCCTCCTCCACCGCCATACCTTTGTCCTCTTCCTCCCCCTCCTCCCCTTCATCTTCTTCCTCCTCCCTCATCCTCCTCTAACGTTAACGTGCCATGTGGCACAATGTTTTTTTTTTTTTGGTTAGTTCTCCTCCCCCTCATCCTCCTCGTCATCATCATCATCTTTTGCCGTATCCTCCTCCTCTTCCTCCTCCTCCTCGTCCTCGTCCTCGTCCTCGTCCTCATCATCCTACTCTAACGTTGACGTGCCACGTGGCACATCTTTTTTTTCTTTTTTTGCCGGTGCGGCTACGTCTACTCCTCGCCCTCCACATCTTCTGCCATATCTTCCTCCTCCGCCATACCTTTCTCCTCTGTCTCCTCCTCCTCTTCTCCCCCTCCTCTTCTTCTTCTTCCTCCTCCTCCCCCTCCTCCCTCTCATCGTCTGCCTTATCCTCCTCCTCCTCCTCTCCTCCTATTCCTCTAACGTGAACGTGCCATGTGAAACGACTTTTTATTGTTTGCCAATGCGGCTACTTCTACTCCTCCTCGCCCTCCACATCTTCTTCCTCCTCTCCTCCTCCTCATCATCTTCTGACGTATCCTCCTCCTTTCCTCCTCTTCCTCTAGTGTGAACGTGCAATGTGAAACAACTTTTTTTTTGTTTGCCAGTGCAGCTACTTCTACTCCTCCTCGCCATCCACATCCTCTTCTTCCTCCTCCTCCTCATCATCATCATCATCATCTTCTGCCGAATCCTCATCATCATCATCATCATCTTCTGCTGAATCCTCCTCCTCCTCTTCTCCTCCTCTTCCTCTAACGCGACTTTTTATTTGTTTGCTGGTTCGGCTACTCCTCCTCCTCCTCCTCCTCCTCATCCTCATCCTCATCCTGCTCTTCTTCCTTCTCCTCCACCTCTTCTTCTTCCTCCTCTCCTTCTCCTACTCCTCTTCTTCTTCTTCCTTCTCATCCATTCAACTTCGCCCACGTGTCTTTTGAATTTTTTTTTGAGAGTTGTCGTTGTATATGTATTTTTAAGAAGTTTTTCGTTGTCTTTATAGGGGCTGAGATCCCTGTTTGCGGTGTGTGTTGTTCGTGTCATGCAGGGAAAGACGTCAGCCAAGCATCTTATAGACCAGATTAAGCAGCACTTCATCGCAGAGGGCGCCGCGGGAAAGTTTGCATTCAAGGGATCAAAGCGCTGTAGGTGCAAGTACTGTGAGCATCGTTTTACTGGGACTGCAACGAAGCTCGGGGATCACTTCCTCGACAAGTGCAGCCTTGACTATTGCACGACAGAAATGTCAGTGGAGGAGAGGGCGAGGAGGGAAGAGGGGATAAGCCAGGGGAAGTGGCTTGCTCGCGTGTTGATGTACGGAGAGGCCGGAGGGTCCGGCCCCAGCAATTCGCGGACCACCGCTGGTGAGGTCCCTGAGTTTCCTACCTCGCATGCGGGTGCAGCTGGCATCACTGGCGAAACACCCACGCCTCAATCGACCGCAGGCACAATTCTTGGATCAACGTTTTCCAAAGCAGTTCCAAGGGGACCTTTGCGGCAGACAATGATCCAGGAGGCTGACAGTGCCGTCATGCAGAATGAGCGGACGAGTCGGTTTCTTGACAGGTTTCTTGCACGAACCAGGCGTTCAGTTTGTTGGAGGATGAATACCTCCTAGAGTTCATCGACGCAGTGAAGAAGGGCCATCCGACGTGGATGCCGTGCAAAAGGGATGAACAAAGGACAAAACACTTGGATGCTGACTATGCGCGAGTAGGGGCAGAGGTGTCTTCCCTGATCCAGAAGTGGAAGAAGTCTGGTTGTATGCTGCAGATGGACAGGTGGTCCGACCGCCGGAACAAGACCCATCTGAATGTCATGGTGTTCTCACCAGTCGGTACGGTCTTCTAGAAGTCTATGTGCATGGAGGGCAAGGACAAGGACGCCGAAGCTTACTTTTGTGTCTTGGATGGGGTCATCAGAGAGAGCGGAGCGAATGCGGTCGTTGACGTCGTCATGGACAACGCAAGGGTGTGCATCAAGGCTGGGAAGATGGTGGAGGTCGCCTTTCAAGTGAGGAGCACGCGGCAGTGGACCGCATCCTCATGGACCACTGGTCAGTCATGACCAGCAAGCTGCATTGTGCTGCAGCCTTCCTGGATCATGAGCACCGAATGCACAATGCGCAACACGACCCGGAGGTCCATGCAGGGTTCAACATCTGGTTGTACTACTGGATGCCACGAGATAAGCTCAAGGAAGTGAGCTTCCAGGTTGACCAGCGGGCGAACGGTTCAGGAGGGTTCTCCACGGAGCAGGCGCACGACCAGGCCAGCCAGCAGCAACCAGCTTTGTGGTGGGAGGCATTCGGCTCCAAACATGACCTCCTCGCACCGCAAGCCATCAAATTGCTTGGCCAGGCAAGCTCTTCCGCCGCTTGCGAGCAGAACTAGAGCTTGCACAAGCTCATCTACGGCAAGAGGCGCCCGAAGCTCATGCCGGAGAGGATGGCCAAGCTCGTGTATAACAGCTGGAATGTCCACCTTCTGAGGAGTAACCAGCACGGCGGGGGGGATGATATCCACATCTCGTGGTGGATGTCGATGATGAGGAAGATGACTTTCCACTGAGGCGCACCTTAAAGCGCAACGATGCGGTGGACGAGAGACTGTGTGAGGAAGACTGCTCTCGTCGGTACGTGGCAGCATGATTGGCACGAGTGCATGAAGCCAGGGAAATACCGCAAGCGAGAGTTGTGTAGGAGATCAGGCAGCGAGTTGCCCGTGCCTCCAGAGTTGTACATCGAGGGCTACGCTCTTGCGATGGCAGCTCGACAAGCGGGCACATGGGTGGACGGCCAGGAGGAGGCACCATGGAGGAGGGGCAAAAACAAGGCAGCGAGGCAAAAGGAAGGCTGTTGAGCAACAACAGCCACGACGGAAGAGAGGTCGTCCGACGTTCGCAGAACAGGCAGAACGCAGAGCACGAAAGGCCGTATAGAAGGCTGCCAATGCAGCAGCTGATGCCGCTGCAGCAAAATCTGTTGCCGTCAAAGTCGTTGCGGACAAAGCCAGAGCAGCAGTGAGAGCCGCTGCAAGGAAATCTGCCGCAGGCAAGACGAAGAGAGCCGCTGTCATAAATGATGACGACGATGATGATATCTCGGAAGACATCCGGGGAGACGAAGAGCCCAAAGGCTCAGCATCCACTTCTTCCAGCTCAAGTCCTTCATCGAAGTCCAGTGGGGGGGAGGGAATGGAGGAGGGTGACGATGAAGAAGTAGGTGAGGGTGCGGCATATCAAGAGGAGAGCGGGGAGTAGATCAATGCAACCGCGTTCTGAGTGACAGAGGCACGCAAAAGTACTTTCCGTGTCTGCCCTCCAAGCAGGGAATATTAGTTTGATTCCCGTTATCCGCAACTGCTTTTGATTTGATGAAAAACAAACTTACAAATTGAAAATGTGTGTGTCAGTAAGTAAACACACAATATGGGAAGGAGGAGGGTGTAGCAGCAGCGACAGCATCCAGAGAGGAGCGTCAGATCTTGGTTTGAGAAAAGGGTAAAGCGGACGATGAAGGGTAGCAGAAAAATAAAACAGATCAAAGAGAGCCTGGGAAGGTCCTGTAGCTGTCCCAACCACTGCCCTAAATACAGACGCGATGGCAGTGCGTCGTGCACAGGGCAAGACGGTACCAGGATATAGGTGGACTGGTAAAGGTCAGTCATTAGCATATTTGTATTATAAGCAACTTGAAACTCAGCAGCAGTGGCGCACGTATGCATGATCTACTGGAGCAATATATCCACAACTGGAGTGTGTTCTTGATAGAAAGCAGAGACAAAAGTACGGGGTGCCACCAAAAATCAAGAGGAAGGGTAATGGAAAAGAGCCCCTGCCCAATCGGTATGAGGCAAACGTCTGTAAGATAGTAAGAACAAAACATCAAGATGCAAGATAGACATTCGGAACAGCCTGCAAAAAACAGAGAGAAGTTCAGAGGTGTATATTGGCATGCAAGGGATCACACGCAGACGATCTGTGCAGCAGGATTTGACAGGAAACAAGCTTCGCAGAGAAACATTTTGAGACTGTTCTCTTCATCTTCACTGCTCTTCCTTTCTAACTTACAACTCTCTCTCTCTCTCTCTCTCTCTCTCTCTCTCTCTCTCTCTCTCTCTCTCTCTCTCTCTCTCTCTCTCTCTCTCTCTCTCTCTCTCAC